TAAAGTGTGGCGCATACATATTTGTTGCTTCCTTATACCAATGTTTGTGCGTTTAAATAAATTTTATTTTATTTCAACACATAGATAATGGTACAAAGAGGCACCAAATACATACGCGCCACACAAGTCACTTGATTTGTGTGCGGACTGTGTTACTGCCCGGGTGCCCAAACCGAAGCGGGTGGTTTTCTTAGGGGACGACACCCGGAGTTTTCGATCTAAAGGTGTAATCCACATGGCAGTGGAGCTACGTTAGGAGATGCAGTCTCATGGTAGAGGGTGACCAACGATTGGTTCATACTCCATTTGTTCCCTCAGGATCGTGGGGCCCATGTGCACCATTGATTTGGAATCCGGTTAAAGCGCCGGACATTCGCTTTTCGTCCTCCCAATTTCGTAAACAACACCCCCGCCACGAGATGGCAGTGAGTAGGACTTCCCTGGCAGAGGCTATATACGCGTGGTCATGTGAGAGCATTTCGAGAGGGAGAGCGGATTGTCCCCACTCTCGGCCGTACCAGGGCATTTGAATAAATAAAATTTACAATTATTGCAATCATATATGAAGGCAAATATTTGTTAGGTTCGTCAACCTTGAGGATACTACTGATTCGACTTATTCGGAACGGAACGAAGGCTCAGGATTCAGAGACTCAATAGACTATTCTGGTCCGTTGTCTTCGACTCAGCTAACTCGATCAAGTAGTCTTGGTAAGGCGTAGAAAGTGTATTCTACAAGCAACAGCAGATACCAAGTCAGGCAGGCAGATCAGATCAAGCATACAAGTCAAGCGTATTTATACAATTATTTACAATCGATAATGTCATAGAAAATTTTTAAACATTAATCAATGAGTTCATTAATTGACCTATTTGCGCATTTAATCGATAGTTCATCAATTGACCCCAATACAAATATTTAAACATTTAATCAATAAGTTGATCGATGCGATAAAATTTAAAATATGAGTTTGGGGATCTATCGTCAGCAACACTCCTCCCCTTTTTAATAGCGGGCTTTCCTGGGGTCAACCTACATCTTGACTGTAGCTCGCCGTTCTCTTATAGGCCACCGTCTGGGACGTGTTGGGGTTTTTCTTGTGGTAGGGTTGCCGGTAAGTGCCTTCAACGGATCACTTCATTTCTTTGATGATCAGTTAATCATAAACACTGATTTATATGTAAATTTCAAGCAAACTTATAATCTAAATTCGCATATGTGCATCCTGTGCGGTCTATCTCGATATAGCCTTAAGTCACAAGCTTTTATAAGCAAAGATGGATAGTGACTAGCAGTGGAATTTAGTTTGACGCGTGTTTCGTGCTATCTGAGATTCGTCAGCTGGATATACCTGCATCCCAGAGTTGATACTCACTCTCGGACTCGAAGTGAGAAAAATATTTACTTTGAAGAAATGACTTACACTAAGTTGCAAAACTTCAGCAAATTTCATTTTCTGCCCATTTGGATATGAGAAATACATTATTAGTTTTATGATTAACAATTTACCGAAGATCAGTTTATTTGAATATATCAAGTTAAACCATGGTAATGATATTCACAAATACACACTTAGTTATGATGAAATTGTGTATAACTGGATTTTGATATTTATCGAATATTCTAGAATTCCAAAAAAGCTATGCCATTTATGCAAATCAAATAGAAGTTCATAAAATTGACTGTGTCATGAAATTGATCTCTATATCTACATTGAGGGATTCCTGTATTGTTTCTAACGATGAAACTTCATTATAATTGTGAATAAATGTCTTAAAATAGGAATATACATAGTTATACCAACTTTCAGGGGGAATATCCTGATATCACACAAATGGAAACGCTAGCTCAAAGTCATATCTAATGACTAAATAATAATACATACTTATATCAAACTAACTAGGAGAAAGTATTTGATAGCATGGACAGAACAACACTAAGGATGCTTCTTCGACACTACGGGGTACCTGAAAAGATAGTTAATATCATACGGAATTCCTATGATGGATTAAACTGCCAAATAGTGCATGGAGGATAGCTCACAGACTAGTTCGAAGTAAAAACCGCTGTCAGGCAAGGCTGCATACTCAACCCTTTCTCTTTCTCCTAGTGATCATGAAGACGTCAACATCTGAAGGAAAGCATGGGATACAGTGGAGAGCTAGAATGCAGCTGGATGATCTAGACTTCGCAGATGATCTGGCCCTTCTATCGCACACGCAACAACAAATGCAGGAGAAAGTAAGTAAGTAGGTATATTAAAATATTCATTACATTCGAAAGTAACCAAAACTTCTCAACAAAGAGGGCTTTGTTGCTAAGCGGCAATACTATTTTTTAATGTTAAATACATACAGATTTTGTTGATGATTGAATTTACATTCTAAATGACTTCAATATTCGTTGAATGGAATATATTTCGGTCATTTCTAGTTTGTATAAATTACCGATAGATATTTTGTCTACTTTGATGGTACAGAATGATTACTGTTTGATAGTGTATTTCAAGTTTCATTGTCAAATTACCGTATCTCAAATAATAAAGTAAAAAAGATATCAACATTTCCGGCTTCATACAATCAACAATATGATAAGCACATTGAACAATTCTTAGATAAACTATAATAGTATAAGAGAAAGGAAAAACTAACGAGATTCTGCAAAAAGAAAAAAATTGCCACTTTTTGATTGGCAGTCAGTCAGCAACAACGTAGAACTGCGTAAGTACGTACATCAATTCGAGTTGCCATACCATATTAGCATAGAGATGCAGTTGTCGATTCAAATTCCATAGTGGTAAAGGTAGTACAAGTATAAACAGTAATCGGAAAGATTAGGGTTTGAATATATTATTCAAGGAGCATAATCTAGTGAAATAAATTTGTGAAGAGAGAAAATAAGGGACAGTAAGAATTCAAAAGATTAAAAATTAGGGAAAACACGAAGAATGGATGCACCTGCACCATTACAAACGATTTTAAGCCATAACTTTCAAGGTCTCTAACCAACAGTTGCTAATTAATTAATGTAAATTTAAGCTACCTCCCCTTCTCCCAATGCTGATCTATCATTGACTACAAAACGGTTGTAACAGTATTAAAAATTAGTACTATTCAATTATTGACTAATGAAAATGAACTTAGCTTACTTACTTACGCCTGTTACTCCTCGTGAAGGAGCATAGGCCGCTCACCAGCATTCTCTATCCAAACCTGTCCTGGGCAATCCCTTCCAGCTCTTTCCACTTATTAGTCATGCTTTTCATATCTGCTTCTATTTCCCAATGTAATGTGTTCTTTGGCCTTCCTCTTTTCCGATTCCCTTCACGATTCCAAGTTAGGGCTTGTCTCGTGATGCAGTTTGATGATTTGCGTAATGTATGTTCTATTCACTTCCATCGTCTTTTCCTAATTTCCTCTTCAGCTGGAAGCTGGTTTGTTCTCTCCCACCAAAGGCTATTGCTGATGTTATCCAGCCAGTGGATGTTGAGTATCTTGCACAGACAACTATTTATAAATACTTGTACCTTCTTGATGATGGTTGTAGTAGTTCTCCAAGTTTCAGCTTCGTACAGTAGAACTGCCTTGACGTTCGTATTGAAGATTCTCACTTTGATATTAGTTGAAAGTTGTTTTGAGTTCCATATGTTCTTGCCCTTGCTTTGCCTATCCTCGCCTTTACCTCTACTTCTGAGCCTCCTTGTTCATCGACGATGCTTCCCAGTTATGTGAAGGATTCTACATCTTCCAGAGTTTCGCCATCAAGTGTGGTTGGATTGCTGTTCTCCGTGTTGTATATGAGGACCTTGGTTTTCCCCTTGTGTATATTGAAGCCTACTGATGCAGAGACTGCTGCTACATTGGCTGTCTTTATCTGCATTTGCTCGTGTATATAGGATAGGAAGGCTAGGTCATCTGCGAAGTCCAAATCGTCTAATTGGTTCTGAGCTGTCCATTGTATTCCGTGTTTTCCCTCAGATGTCGACTGAATTATGAAGACCTCGACATCTGATGAAAAACACGGCATACAATGGACAGCTCAGAACCAATTAGACGATCAATCATTGACTAATGAAAATGAACTTAGATCACTTTTAGATTTTTAGTAAATAAAAAAAAAAGTTCAATATCAAGGGTTTCTGGATAGAATTCCAACATTTAATTTACAAGCATCATGACTATAGTTACAGATATCACTTACGCCTGTTACTCTCAATGGAATATAGGTCACCGATACCATTTATTATCGAATAAAACATAATCATGAACCCTATGTAGGAATTCCTTTCATGAATGACTTTATTTAACCTAATATGTTTCACATATTTTCATCGAAAACGAGAACCTTATCGGTTTAAATCATAATAAACAAACAAACAACATGGAAACACACTTTAGAATTTCATTATAAGAGAACACAACTATATTAATATATATATATGTGTACAGGTGAGTTCCCATCGTGTATCCGATATAGTGATTATGCATTGGACAGTTGAAAGATGAGTAAAATTATATTATTGGGAAGAGAGAAATAAAATATATATAGTGGAACTGATCAATTCACTCTTAAATGTTAAACAAATGTAAAGATTGAGTCGATTAGGTGTTCAAGTATAGAACTCCTAACTGTTTTCCTTTCACTCTTATAGAACCAAGCTGGAATATGTTCCCGTATCCGAGTTGAAAGCGAGCTCTAGCTACGGCCAATGAGAAAAGGAGGAGAATAAGAGTTACCACATACCAACACACACACGCGCATACACATACAAACAAACAAACAAACACACACACACACAGAAACATATAGTTGTTTATTGAACAGAAAATTTATTTAATTATTTATTTATTAATAGGTATTAATAATAAGCTTGTAAATGAGCAAACACGTATACAAATATATTTAATGAAATGACAGAGATAGACTAGTTATTTTCATCAAAGTAATCAGAGTATAGATTACTCTGATGAACACAATAAGATGTATCCACTCAGTGATGTCATCATCATCATCATCATCATCTCTTTCTTCGTTTCTATCGAATTATTACTTGATGAATATAGGTGTATAAACTAGAATGTGAGAAAGAGAGAACAATGAAATATGTATATAATTAATAAAGATGAATAGGATTGAAAAATTCAAAATAAAGAATTACACTATTCACAATAAGATGATAGTGACTATAGGAACAAAAACAACAACCATAACAACAGTAGAAGCAGCAGCAGTAATAGTATTCTTCTTAGAGATTGATTGAAATAAAACAACGATGATGATGATTGTTAGGATAGTGATTAGGAGAAGAAGAAAAAAAACATAAAATGAAAACGATAAGATCTTGTAAACATTAAAAGATCTACACTCATATGTACATATAGAATGTTTTAAAAAGAGATAGATTAGTGATAAGAAGAAGAGAGAGGGAGGGGAGAGAGAGAAGGAAGATTGAAACAAGATCTATAAACATGAAACAAAATAGAATGTTCTTGAAGATATAAATCTCTAAGAGGTAAAGATAGAATTGATGATATTCATAGTATGAAGAAGATTGATATGATAGAAGAAGAATAATTAGAACAAGATGATGAAGACTGGAAACAGTTATTCGATGAAACCAAGTTATTAGAAACAAATATATGTATATAAACAACTCTTCATATATTCATTTAATGATGACAATAGTAATCCATGAATAAAATTGAGGTAGATCATATGTGTTTATATATATAGTTTAATTGAGTAATGTATTTATCATTTTGTAATACCTATCTGAATACAATGCACTGGTATATAAATGTAGTAGGAATGAAATGAGTATAACCCCATATATGCTTCACATATATATATGGCAACAGCTTAGTGTAACATAAAACATTATTTAAATAGAATGAGGTAGATGAATGAATAATATCAGTCAAAGCAACAACAATAAAAACATGAAAATAAATGTGATTTTAAAAAAAAGAGGGGGGGGGGAGGAATAAAGGATCATGCACCATTGAAATACCAATTAGTCATAGTAGTTGTTTCAAAGTTATTCAATGAAGTGTTACTAAGGGATCCAATATTCTATTGACTATCATAATTGGTAGTGGTACTGTTATTAATATGACCGTTATTATTATTATTATTATTATTATTGCTATTCAATGAGAATAATGTCATTGATACATTATGAACAAATTCCATAGTAGGTTTAAGTTCTTTTGGTTGTAAATCTCGAGGAATCTATAAATGAATATAATGAAGAAAAGATAAAAATAAGATAATTTAAGTAGTGTAAACAAAGTTCAATTTATGTTAAAATAGTCATTAAATAAAGGATAAAAAGCATAGTAACAACTGAATCAACAATGTCCTCAAGGTGGAATGAAAAATTTATTTACTTGAACACATATACGTCACACAAGTCACTTGATTTGCGTGTGGGTTGTGATACTACCTGAGTGACCAAACAGAAACAAAATGGTTTTTTTAAGGAATCACAACTGGAGCCTTTGACCTATAGGTCTGATCCACAAGGTAGTGAAGCAACGTCGGGAAATGCAGTCTCATGGCAGCCGGTGACCAATAATTGGTTCATACGCCATTTGTTCCCTCAGGATCATGGAGCCCATGTGCAAAATTGATGTGGAATCAGGATTTTTCCAACTCTCCTAGGTGGATCCTTTATATTCACTAACCCGGTTGAAATGCCGAACATCCTCGTTTCGTCGTCTCAATTTCGTACTCAACAGTAATGCCGCGAGAAGGCAGTGAGTAGGATTTCCCTCGCAGTGGTTTCAATGAAACTAACCTGCATAATCCCTCCCTATCATGGTCACTATCATTATCTTCTTTCTTTATCGATTTAATTACATGATATTAATAGATTTCTGTATGTATCCGAATTGTGCTTAGTAGTTTCAGATACAGTAAAACACAAATAATGTGACCTTTTTATTATTTACGGGGATTTTTTCCCCTTCAAGTTGTCATGTTTTATAATTAAGCATCATATTAAAGGTTGTTTCACATAGCTACAAAATATAAATCAGTGTAAAAAATTTATTACTTATATTTAAAGATTAGATTATACAACAATTGATTGGGTAGTTTTTATTAAAATGAATAAAGAGAATGACATTTATTTTAGAAGAGCATGGAAACATGAGTAAACCTTTTTGCCTTGAGATTTTAACTCAGTGATAAAAAAACACAGAGGGGGGATTCATATGTAAAATGTTTAAAAATACAAACTAAACCCTAGTGGATTTACTCTTTAACATATAAAATCTCAATTTTTGAGATCATAAGTCAAGTGAAGCTAGACCACAATGGAAAACCTGGAAGCACTGGACGGCCGTTTCATCCTTATATGAAAGTCCTCAGCAGTGCACATCCACGATCCACCTCACGTGATTAGAAACCAGGACCAATCGACCTCGCGCGCGAACGCTTAACCTCTAGACCACTGAGATGGGCGGCATCCAACGGTGTTGGTATTTAACTTTAACCATCTTCCATTGTACTGAGGTAGATACCTGTCTCTACCCGACACGGATTGACCCCAATGGTGACGGCTTCTAATTAGAACTGTGAGAATTCCCTCACGAAACTAGTCACTATTAAGGACATGGTACTTATCAATATGCGGGTGTGGAGACTATTCGGTTTTTGATGAACCGAATGATGTTAGACCAACATTGAAAACCTGTAAGAAAAATCTTAATAATCTTCACAACCTCATACTAATAATTTTTATTAAGTTGAATATTATTATTGATACTCGCTTCCATATATTATATGTAAAGGTTACAACCTTACAACGGAATCTACAACCATTATTATTATTGGAGTTTAGCGGAATCAAAAAATGAGTCTAGCTGAGATCGAATCATGACTTCAACTACTTAAATTACTACAGTCTCTACAAATTCCCCATTCTGATCATTAAGGAATAGTAAAATGCATAACAATAGTTAATAGGTCCACTGGAATGTTGCAATAAGGAGAATATAGAAACCTAATGCAGCTATCTACTAATTATACAACGAAAATAATAAAAAATAATCTTTAAAAATAGTCCAAATGTTCTAACTTCCCCAGTATTCGTCTCTTCGTAACACTAATCACTAGGATATTACAAAGCTAGATACTAACACCACTGAACACCGGTCATTTCAGTGGTATAGAGGTTAGGCGTTCGCGCGCGAGACCGATAGGGGGTGGATGCGCATTGCTGAGGAGTTTCATACCAGGACGAAACAGCTGTCCAGTGACTCCATGTTTTCCATTGTGGTCTAGCTTCAATCGACTCATGATCTAAACCATTGAAATTACTACCATGTCCACAAAACCTTTCTGATAATATAAAATTGATGAAGTTCGATCGGACAGTAAGTCGATATCTGTTAATTTCCCATTCGAACCCAAATGCCCAATGCTTTTAATGTATAGTCAAATAGATGTTGTCATCTGTTAATACTATTCATCATTGTTTTATAATTAATAAAATAAATAGATACTATATCACATTGTATTGTTATTGTTAATATGATAATAGTAACCCTCCTACAATCAATTTCGATTATGGTTAAATATTGGTTAAACCCTCTTATATTGACTTAATAGATAATTTTATTTGGATAGTAACAATTCGTCTATTTCTTTGTACTATTATAATCACTAGGTCATATGACAAACTTTAGCTAAAATGTTGTTCGGTTAAATATCACTCAGTGATTCATTCACCCCCTTGTTCGCTCCCTTATGCATATGTAATTATTTGTATATACATATTCGTCTCTTCGCTTCAAATTCACTTGATGTGCATATAGCTTTACAATCTACGCTATCCGCTAATAAACTGTAGTTGCCGCTTCTCATTACTATCTGATTTTAAATATCGTTGAGAATTTATAGTATAACAACAGTTATCGAAGTGATTGATGAATGATACAAAGCCATTACAATGACATAATATCATATCAGATTATTATCATTATCAAAGCTAAGCATAAGTAAGACATACATAGAAGTTATAACTTAGAATAAAAATAGATCAAACAGGTCAAGGTTGAAATATGACACTTCATTTAAAGTAATTATATATTGACAATAATATGAAAAGTGAAAAGGAGACATACAAAGAGAAAGAGAACAACAAGTGAGATTTCAAAACACAAAGCATCTAATAAAACGCTTTGTTTAAACTTTTTATTAAAACAAACAAATATATTGTTGATTGTGAATAGAGAACAAATTCATAATAACAAAGAATAGAAGAACAAAAGGTCAAGAGGACTTATTGATTTTTTTTAAAAAAAATAGGTCAACCAAACATACACATATCAATGATGGACAATGGATCAATTTTGTGGATTAGTTGAAGTTAGATATTAACACGGTCGGATGCCGGTCAGCTCAGTAGTCTAGAGGTTATAAGCGTTCGTGAGCGAGACCGATAGTTTATTAGGAAAAGTTTTATAGAAAAATAAAAGGTCAACAAATACATACAATAATGATTGTAAGTAACACTAAAAGGATATGACTTGATCTTTTCAAAACAAACTGAGCATTAGGTAGATAGATTATAATGATAGAATTCATGAGTCAATTGAAGCTAGACCATCATGGAAAACCTCGAAGCACTAGACAGCTGTTTTGTCCTAATATGAGACTACTCAGCAATGCGCTTCCACGATCCCGCTCCGCAAAATTAGAAACAAGAAACTATCGGTCTCGCGATCGAACGTTTAACCACTAGACTACTGAGATGGCTGGCATCCAATTGTGTTAATGTCTAAATTCAACCAATCTATGAAATTGAGCGACATATCGATCATTGTCTTCAATGAGTTACTATCTCACAACTCCAGGAAATACTTCTAGAAGCCAGTCCCTAGTGAGCATATGTTGATTAATATCAGAAGAGCTTTTTTGTGAAATCATGAGTCAATTGAAGTAAGATCACCATGAAAAACCTATAATCACTGGACAGTCGTTTCGTTCTATTGTGTGACTACTCCTTCTCAGTAATGTACATCCACGATCTCCCCTGATGAATGAGATTCGACCTATTAAAATTACTATCATATCCAACAAAATTCCCCCCTTCTGATATTAATTATCATTATTATTATTATTATATAGTACAAAATATTTTATTTTAAAAATGGTTTGTTTTATCTCCAACATCATAAACATACAATCTGAAAAAAAAACGGTACCACAGTTTATCGTATAAAGTATTCAGGCAAATTATTGTTAAACATATACATATTAGAAAAAAAAAGCGGCTATTATGATCCAACATCAAAGTATGTAAATTTTACATTCATGTTATATAAATGAATATACCGATATACTAATAATACGTTGTTGTTGTTGTTGTTTTTATCAGTATTATTCGTTTTGTATCTATGTATGTATATAATTATTACTATTACCAAAACGGTAACAGTATTAAGAACTGATTACCATAATAATAATAATAATAATAATAATAATAATAATAATAATAATAATAATAATAATAAAGTCATCATAAGTACACATTCACACTTATTATTATCTTCAAGTTGTACTTCACCTGGAGGAATTTTTATTCACAATATACCGGCTAATAAGTTGTAAGGATAAAAGAGGTTAGTGATATTGATGGTGGCGGTGATGGAAGGGTAGGTGAATTTATGTATATATATATATATATATATATATATATATAGAGAGAGAGAGAGAGAGAGAGAGAGATGGATAAGTTTTAAATAGGGGTTAGAATATGACGATAAAGAAAGAACACAGTAATAATATACGGTCCTCTATGTATTAATCTATATTTATTCAGTGTTATCTTTCTAAGTGTATCTGTGTGTGTGTATGTGTGTGACACCATAATAGTGAACCGGCTTTGTAATCAGACCGCGAATGAAGTAATTTTTTTTAAAAAAAAAAGAACAGTAGACAAGTTAAAGCAACCAGTAGGTTCAAAGAGTACAACCGAATAGACAAATGAAGTATAAAAAATAAAATAAAATTGTAAATTTTGGATATAGTAACTGAAATTTACCCATAGATACATATACATATACCAATGATACAACAAACAATCAATGACAAGAAAACAAAAGGTATAAATTAGTGGCATAAAATGACGTCCCATGTGAACATTTAACTGTTGATATACTTACACTTGTCCATTTTTAAGCATGAACACAGACTTAGATACATTGAAACAACAATACAAT